TACAACGCGTATTCGGAGGTATTCAAGTCGCAGGATGATACTTGACGTATCCCTAGGGTATTCATATTGAATACTATTGCATACGTCACGTATCGAGTATCGCTGGCGTATTCTTACCAGAGTACGTCAAGTATGATTTGTCAAGAGTTTTCAAATCCGGCATACTACACGTATATCAATAGTTTTCCTTACCGAATACTCTTGAAAAACGTAACGAATGGGAATCACTGAGGTATACGTACCATAATACTTCTGACTCAAGTACTCTAGAATTTTCAATAAATCGCAATAACTAGCTTTTAAAAACACCGTTTGTGAAATACTATAGCGTCCTATAGAGAATAATAAGCCAACAAAATATATTACATATAGTACTACTTTGTCCCGATTGTCGAGTACCCATTATGAACAAGGCTGGTTATGATTAATGATATTATGAATAATTCTATATCATATTTTTTTCTATTTCTCTACCGTACTGCACTACGTGGGGCGGGGGACAGGGAGCCCAACACTAAGAACGGCTGGGGGAAGACTACTCTTTCTCACATCCGTACAGTTTAAAACAATATGCATAATCTCACATGAAGTTCGCTTATTTTTATTTATCTATTTCGAATTTACTTTTATTTAGCTTATTACTTTTCTTTTATATTTAAAAAAAAAACACGTTTCCTCCTGGAGACTGGGGCGAGGATATCCATGATCCTTTGCGATGTTCTAATTGTCTCGTTCGAGCGCCATTTCTAACGGTCATGTTTGAGGCGAGTCTACAGATTTTTCGTCTTTCATGGCAGTTCTCGTGGATTTTATTCGTTTACAAACAACATCTTTCAACTAGTAAGCTATCCRAAYRGCTGTAGWGTSTTTAGGCATGATATTTAACCGTGGATGGCCGTCAACTGGTGAGATTCGTTGGCAATTTWCATGTAAGGTACGTTAGTCTGTTTTGTCGCTCAGTTTATACCGTGAACAGTACTTTTTATGCATTATTGTTGAGGTATATCATTAGTAATCGACGATGTTAAACATAATAAGACTGTATAACAAGATCTTTCTTGCTCACAGGCACCAAATCAAAGTCTTGAAACGAATAAATATGGATACATGTAGTGTACAAGAAGCTCAATCCAGTCGCTCAATCAGCTGAAACTAATGTAGGTGATTATAAAGCTTGTAAACTGTAGTTCTCATATGTATCCTTAGGAATCTGTTGACTTTGGCTAAACACAGCTTATCTTTGGCATATGATACTATAATATTTATGTTAAAGCAGTGTGATTTATCAAGAAGTCCTGCTTTTTGAATAATTTTATTGCATCTTTGATTGTATTCATTTTCGTTRATAGAATATATTCATGATTTCCTAGCCAGAGATCAACTTCCTAAACAYAAATATGAGAAATACAATTTGCAATTTATTGTACTATGTGGCTGTTATACATGCACTATATCTAATGATTATTTCATTTACTAATCATATTTAAGTAAGCATATTGTTGTTGTTGTTGTTTTTTATAAGCATTGTARCATTTGAAAATGTTTCCAGATTAAAGGAGATTTTTGACATGATGCTAATAATAATTCTTAACAGACATCAACTGGCTATGTGAATTGCAGTGTGCAAATTTATGTTTTGAAGCTTGAGGCTACACAGGTCTAGTCATATAGTCATTTATAACACAGCCCAATTCTGTTGTGTATCAGTTTGATCAATCAGTCTTTACAGCTAGTTTTAGAGCAAATGCATGGAAACCATGAAATAAAACCAAACTAAATACTAACAAATAGCTGCTATTTAGAGACAAATTGTCAGTGTCAATGAACCAGAATGCAATGAAGTTGAATAGCTGATTTACGAATTTTGCTTCAGTAGTCAAACACAAAAGAATCAAGACGAGGCACTSTGCGTAAATCTCAGTCAGTTGCGAAAACTATTGTCTTTTCACAAAGCTTAATGCATGGTGCCTCGTATTCATTCCTTTGTGTGTGATGTTTGATGCAAAACTTGCAAGTCGGCTATTAAAAATGGTCCCATGTGGATTCCTTTTCATTATGTTCTGGTTCATTGGTACTGACAAATTGTCTTTAAATACCTGCTATTTGTTAGTATTTTGTTTGATTTTATTTCATGGTTTTCTGCATTTCCTCTATACTATATCTTTTTTTAAACAAATGTCACATATAACTTTCATTTATGACTGCTCATTGAAGGAGTATATTACAGAGCTTTGATGATAAAACCAATSAAAATTATATATAACTGTTAATTGATCTGTTGTTACAACCAAGCCTTGAGATGTTGGCCAGGGAAATGCTAGGATTGAAGTCATGTTCACCAGTTAACATTACAAGGCAGTGTTKTTGACAATTATGACATTCATTGACTTTTAATATGATTGAATAAAATAGTGCAATACTTAATAATGGTATTTCACATTGCACAATTTTGTTCAACCATTTTATAAACAAATATAGAATTTTTTGTACATGGATTTTTGGATAAATACCACTTGTGATATTTCAAAATTGTCACAAATTTTGCTCATCTTGAGAATTTTTGTTTGACAATTTGAAATATCATGCGT